ACTTAAGTTTTTATTTGTAATTCGGTGGTCCTATACATTTTTTTTTGTTGCAAGAAAAAAATACCGTGCTATTCCTCTTCTTGCGCGAGGGTTTAATCACCTAATAATTACTCTGATGATAATTATTATTATTCATGCCATGATTTTGTAGGATTATTAACTTTCTTTTTCGATGTTAGGCGTTGTCGACTGCCAATACACACGCGAAAAGCACATCAGCGGGGATGAGACATGATGGAAAGCATGAAGGTGAGCATTCTCATGACAAGGACCAGCTTTGGTGTATTCTCGGAATGTTGGCGGTGATGCTTGGATTTTTCATCGTGGAAAACACTTTGCCGTCATTTTTGGCGTGGCGTGAAAAGCACGTCGCTGCTAAGGTGAGGTTTTAAATAAAAAAAAAAGGAATCTTTTTTAAAATCTTCGAGCGTTACGTTACAAGGGGACGCTTCATTTCCGCGCTCGTTTCATAAGAAAATGTTTAAGTACTGTACAGTACAAGGGTTTTTTTGAAAAGCGTGTCATCCATTTTGGTTCCACTTTCACGCCTCTTTTGAAATAATTCTCTGTTGTTTGGAAAAGATTTCTCGAACTCTTTTGATCCAAAAATTGTAGCATCCGACGCAAGTAACAATTTTGCTCATTTTTCTTCAAACCTGGCCCCTTGAGCTTTTACGACTTTCTAGTAGACGAAGAAGGGAAATTTTAGCAGCAATCATCATTGTAACCCGCCAACACTTTAACTTTTCTTTACGCTTCCTCTTCTTAATTACGTCTTTTCAAAAATGTCAACAGTCGTTATCAAAAGATAGGATTAAATGCGAGGGGTCTAACAAAAGTTCTCGGGATACAAATTTAAATGACGTATGAGTGAACTAAAAAACAATGATTGTTCAGAAAATACATTCTTTGGCACAAGAGAAAAGCAATTCAGCTCTGTTCGACGCTTTTTTTGCAATTTCTTTTGAAAATGTCGCCTGGCAGCTTTCTGCTCATCACTCGAAAGATGAGGCGCCCATTCCGCAGATTTTTGGTTTAGCCCAGCCTCTCCTTCAGAATTCTTCAAATTGACATGGCATTAATTCCAAGGGTTGCCTGAAGGTCTTCCGAGGTCATTCTGCTATTTTCATAAAAAGCCGCCACATTCTCATTCCAAATGGCGGCTGGTGTTGAAAATGGCGGTATTGATAATCAGTGAATGGCGGCAACCCCTAGAATTTACAGAATTTGGAAGGGATGGCTGGGGTACGCTGATGAATACGCGAGATGGGCGCCTCACGTGAAGTCAAGAGCAGAAAGCTGCCAGGGTGACTTTTGCAAAAATTTTTCTGAAAATTTGTCAAAAACGGCTAATTCATTTCTTTTTGTGCCAAAGGATGTATTTTCTGAACAATGACTGTTTCTCAGCTCAATCGTATGCTGTTTCAATTGATTTTCCGAGAAAACCTTGTTAGATTCCTCGCACTGATGGGAGTAGTGAGACATTGGATTTGCTGCAGAAATCAGACGTGCCTTTTGCAGATTAAATTGTTTTAATTTTGATGTTGTATTCAAATGGATGCTTGTTTACATTTTGTCGTCAGTCTTAGTCTTTTTCTTGGTCCCCTCACTCTCGTTGTTGTTCTACCTCTACGTGTCCTTCGCCACACTGGACTTCTCAGTGCCTGAGCGGTCACTGGTCATAGCGATACTGTTGGTTTACCACAGGCACTATATGGGTGAAAAACTTTGTAACGGGCGGTAAGTACAAAAGGTTGGTCTGGGAGATCAACGGCCTCTTTTCTTGGAACCTTGACTCTGTCAAAACCAATCGTTCACACCTCTAGTTTCTCTGTTGGTACTGTCATAAAACGCTCGGTTCAAGGCGGAGCAAGTGTTGATGGACCAGTTAGGTATTGTTGGTGGGGAAGATGGAATGCCTTGTTTTTTTTTTTTTTTTCATCTCTGGGGGTCTGTGGCTTCTTGGGGTGAGGAAAAAAGGCGTTTGAGCAGACGGGTTGGGACGCTTTGGAGGTGTATACTTCTGGCGGCCCTGTGTTGCTTCTCGGCGGCTCCCAATGATACAAGATTTGACTTGCGGTTTGACTATCAATCCTTGAGTATTTTTTTGTTTTTTCAAATACGCCGCATTTGCGTTTATACTGGGGGACTAATGAAATTTCATTCCTGCTAAAAATTCGCCGTAATAAATCGTTTTTTAACTTACTGGAAGACACGGTGAGAAACCACAACACCGATTTTTACATCCGGTCTATTTTTACAAGTATCGTAAAGGTAGATTTTTTACAACTTGCCTTCTGTTATGTTCAGAAATACGAGAGAGGAAAAATGGAAACTATCTTTCTTTCAAGTTTCAAGCTACTATAGTTAATCAAGAAACATATCAGGATTTGCACCTCATTTTCCCATGGTGTAATGTTGATGAAAAAGTCCACTTGAACTTCTGAAATGATTAATTTGATTATTTAATAACTTCATACCAAACATTTGCAGCCTCGTTTTCTCCCCTTTTAATTTTGTAATTTAAGTGCTTGAGTTCCTTGTATGAATGCGGTATGTATATACAGTACTGTGCTGTATTTAAAAATGGCAATAATAGTACTGTATATCAGTGCTGTATTGAGTCTGATGCATAAATAGGAAACAAATGGATTAAAATGCACATGGAGGTGAAACTGTTCCAAGTTCAAGTTTGACTTTTTGCTTTCATAATTTTTGAGGCATTGCAGTTGGGATTACATTTTCTTCCCTCTGTGGCAGCTTCTTTTAAGATGTAAGTATAGTTTAAAACACTTGAAGAGAAGTTGAGACATGCAGGTTTAGGCCTGGTAAGCCCTTTTGGAAGACTTTTCTTGGATCACTTTCAAGGTTCTGAACCAATTAAAATTATTACAGTGTTTTCTTGGGGGGAAAATGGGATTTGGCTGATGAACTTTGCTCAGGAATGGATTACATATTCAGTAGCCAAGACTCCACTGTACTCTCAGAATGGTCATTTCCTGCCAAATAGAAGTACACCCTTTCGAAGCAGTAGAGTTAAAGTTGAATTTAAGTTTAAAATTGGCTTTAGTGGTTATTGAAATTTTAAATTGGACTCCATTTATCCTCCCACCCTGTTCACTTCAGAAAAGTGAACAGGTCAGAAAAAATCGTTTAAATCAACGAATTGACATTCCTCCATGGTATCAGGATCTAAACATGGATTTTTAACCAGGCTTGATGCGTCATCTATTTGAGGTTTTTGTATGACATCAACCGGGCTTCATTAGAAAATAGCAACCAGCATGAGGTGATGAATGACCGATGGGTGCATGTTGTTCGCTTGTCAAAGGTTTCAATGATCTAGTACAGTAATGCCCTGGATTTCATGAGCTACCCCTGGCAATCTTGATAAATGGGGCCTAATTCCGGAAGAAAAAGAAGAGGTTCATGTGCCTTTGGAGTAGAGCTTTTGTTTTAGGTGGCTTATGTCTGTTTCTGGTATGGGAATTTGATTGTTTGGATATTGCTGTATGTTTTTTGGGTTCAATGTGCATTCTTTATTGTGAATTGCAGGCAGAGAAGAAGGACTCACACTTCACCATCGGACACTGTTGTAAGGCACAAGCCTGGTCAGAACGTTGTTCCTGAGAACGCACTAACACTGTCTTCCCCGAACACCTCCACTCTACGGACTGGTCACAGTGTCGGTGCGTAGCACGAGCAACAACAATGACGGGCTCATGCCTTGCTTCCTCGCTGTAGTGAGTTTTGTGAATTTTTGCATCAGTTATCAAGAACTGATGACTGAAATTTTCCTTCATTTTTTTATTATCATCACAGAATCACAAGGATGGAAAGCATCAGTGTGCTGAGGGTATAGAGTTGGGTGGCTGCGAGAAAAGAGTCATTACCTCAGAGCAAGATGTGAGTTTTAATGACGTGAATATTTTAATGATGGCTCATATTGATTTTATGCTCTACCTGAATCTTTGGAATGTACGGTATACGAAGAAGTGGCCACAAAAAAATAACACGTGAATTAATCAATGTGGAGTTTTCTCGAACGTGGGCTGGGGTAATATAAAATACTGTACAAATACATCAAATACTTTATTCGTCAAATACATTTTTGATGAATTTTCAGGCAGAAACTTCCTACAGGCACAGTCTGAAATTTCTGATAGCAAATGTGGCTGACAGGGAATTTAGTAACATGGATGGAAGCTTTAATCAATGACAAACCAGCTTCAAAGTGGTTCCATGCATCATCCTCCCAGAATGAAGAGATTGGTGTAATTGATGGAATGCATGACTGAAGCCAATTTTTTTTTTGAAAAGTTGTCCCAGCTTTTCAAACAAAAATGAAAAAATCAGAGATTGCCAGAAAAGTCATTTTCCAGTCATTAATTTTGAAAATATTGTTTTGAAAAATTATTCAGTACTGTATAAAAAAGGTTTTTAGGAGTCCACAAAATTTGTTGCAACAAGATTTTACTGTAAAATATTTCAGACTCAGCAGATCTCAAGAAGTCTCAGGTGACATGTATGTAAAAACAATAAAGAAGACTTTGTTTGGGTCTTTCAGTTTTCTAATTTATTTTTTATTTTTCTGAACAGGTGTTGCATGAACTACAAATTTAAACATGAGAACTAGAGCAATCCTGAATATAACTGCAATACTCGACTATGACTTGATGTGAACCTACTTGACCTGAGCTGTCTTAAACTTGAAAATTTGTGGCTAACTGAACAAGCGACAGTTATGTTGTGGCAAAGAAAATCTCAGAAATTGGAGACGTTTGAGGTTAATGGGAAGAATTTGGAGTATTGGCTTGATTTTGAACTTTCCCCTGACAATTTTGAAAATCAGCAAGACGAAGGAAGGAAGATTGTTATTTTTAAATGCTTATTTTTAGCGTGATTGGATAAAAGTGGTGCCTAAATTAATTGCTTGGCATGACCCCCAACAGTTGCAGAATTGCAGCAGCTCTCGGCGGTGTTCGGGGAAATGGTCAGTGACGGATGGGGCCAGCACGGGTGCCCATGGGGACAACAAGCGATCGTAGTGAAGCCCAGAGGCGAGAATCTGATGATGATACCTGTGATGAGCCTGACGAGAAGGACGCGTTGAAGAAGGACAAAGGTGTGCTTTCCTCTTTTTTTTTACAATTTTATTTGAAGGGTTTCCAGTTGAGTACGAACATTTTGAAATTACTCGATCAAAATTTAAGAATAAGAATGTTCGGAACTTGATTTGAGCTTTATTAGTTGCTCTAGTTTGCGGATGAATGTAATAAAAAGGTTGTAATCTTTTCTTGCAATGTATTTTCGGAAGTTTATTGAAATTTTCCCTGCAAATATCTGCGTATGGCTCGCATCACACTTAAAGAAAAAAGAATATGCTTCCTTCTTGGATTTAAAAATTGAATCACTTTACAAATTTTCCGAAGGAAAGGTTCAGGATTTATCAAGTTTTTCCTGCTTTGCTGCTTTTTTTTCATATTTTGAAATTATCACTCTTGAGTGCCCCTCTGTTTTGACAGGAGTTCATCATCACCACAGGCATCATCACCACCATCATCATCACATCAAGCCGGATTCAGCGAGTGCTGTTGCCTGGATGGTGATTGCTGGAGACGGTTTGCACAACCTGACTGATGGGATCGCCATTGGATCCGCATTCGCCGTTTCTTACTGGGGCGGTCTTTCCACGACAGTTGCTGTTTTCTGCCACGAGCTTCCTCATGAAGTTGGTGAGTGTGTTTAGGAAGAGAATTTTTGCGGAAAAAGTTGGACCTGAAAGGGAAAAAATAGTTTCGCTTTTTTGATACTCTGTATACGGTTTTTGTTGACTTTTGCGTGATGGATGAAATGTAGTGAAGTAGTATGGGCATTAAACCACTGACAAGTAGATTTACTAAAGTTTGGGATGTTTGATATTTCCTTTGCAATTAAAGGAACTGTTTTAATTCTAACATTTTTAATAATTTTCTGTGTAAGTTTAGAAGAACACTTCACTGATTTTCTATATGAACTGTTAATTTCATCATATTAAGAAATGTAAGAATAAGTTCAAATAAGTATGCAGTGATTTATTGTTAGTGACAAGGTTTAATGGCAAAGTCTGGGCAAGAAGTTACATTGTACACGAAAATGCCTGTGTTTATAAACTTACTTGGCCAAATGATGTCATGGGGAGTATGCATAGTTGCTGATTTGGATTGGTGTTGACACATTTATTGCAATTTTTAATGGGAGAAAGGAAACTACAGTACATGGAAAATTAAAACAGATGGCAACAGAATAACTGGAGCAAGTGTAAATTACTAATGAGGATATTGACTGAGATCTGTGTTGTATTGAATTATAAAATATGAATACAGTACTGTATCTGAAGGAGTATTTTGCAGTTCTGTGCTGTAAATAACTCTACAGTGTAATGCAATGAGATGATCTAGAAAAATGAAAAAAATGAAGTCTGATGGGATGAAGTGGGTGTATACTTGAATTTTATTGTTTTTGTTGTTTGCAGGCGATTTTGCCATGTTGCTGGCAACTGGGATGACTGTGAAACAGGCCCTGTTGTATAATGTCCTGTCTTCTGTGCTGTGCTTTGCTGGAATGGCTGCCGGGATTTTTATGGTGACCAATAGTCCTGATGGAGGTGAAGCCACCATCAGCAACTGGGTTTCCGCTGCTACTGCGGGTGTCTTCATCTACATAGCGCTCGTTGACATGGTTTGTTTTTCTTATCATTCTTTGCTCTTGGGCTAAAAAAAAAAGATCACAAATTTAAACTTTCGTGAATTATTCCCTCTTCTGAAAGAAAAAATTGGTACTTTCCGCGACTCGAAACTTTTACCAAGATCAATTTTTTTTGGTCCCTTGGAATTTACTTGAAGAAGTTTAAATGCATCTGAAGGAGTGGGATGAATGTTAAATTTGTACTGAAATAAGGTGGTACAATTTTCAACCATGAGGAAATCCCAAGCAAAAAGTATGTTGCCAAAAAAATGGAGGAAATTGGGGCATGATTGTATAATCAATTTGGATACTGGATTGGGTTAAGGAGGAAAATGATGGATATTTTGATTGTCTTCGAGATCAACATGGTGATTGAATCACCCTGAAATTAGCACAGGATAGAAATAAATTGCTGCGCTTGTTTTATGCCAAGATATGCTCGCTTTAATGCAGTAACTGATTGAGATTGATATTATCAAGTAAATATATCGTGATTTCTACTCTTTTGCCCGACTTACGTGGTCCCGTTAATTTTCCCCAGATACCAGAGTTGACCAATTCAGACCGTGGACCCAAGAACCCTTGTTTGAGAGTTACCATAGAAGTGCTGGGAATGCTGACGGGAGTCCTCATCATGTTCGTCATTGCCTTCCACGAGGATGGGTTCTATTCCTTCCTGGAGTGAGGAAGAAACATTTCCTCACCCGAAGAAGTACTTCCGTTCTTCTGCGTCTACACACACACACACACCCCGCGTCAGCCCCTTGCTTTGTGCTAATTTTTTCTCCAGTGTTGAGAGCTTGAAAGTTTCATCTCCATTCCTATGGAAAAAAGGCGTTTTTTTGGTGGTGAATTAATGACTGGGGAATTCTCTGAAGAATTTGTATTCTGACCCATGCCTTGCTGGGCGAAATTTTGTGGAATGCGTACCTTTTTTTGGGGGTTCCCTGTTGTTTTTTGAAGAAGAAGGAGGGTTTGATCATTGATTGTGGCAATTGTTGGGTGTTCTGGAAAGTGAGCTTTTTTCCCGCTGAGAAGAAAAACAAAATATGAATCTGGCTGATGCACAAGTGCAGTTTGTGCACATGGCTTTTTTTTTTTTTTTCTTGGGTGACTAAATATACTTCCAACTGATTGTTTGGAGGGTATGAAGAGTTGCTTTAGGAGACAGAAATCGAAGAATCTGGTCTAATTTCTTGCAATGGTATTTTTTCCCTCCTATGTTTGAGGCTGTGACCTGATGGCCGTAGGGGGAAAATGAGAAAATCAAGGGCTTTGTCCTCGTTCGTGTTTTTTTTTTTTTGTTGAGAAAAAAGAGAAACGAAAATTGAGATTGTGATTTATGAATCACGGAGTTTTTCTCACTTTCTGTTAATAGACGGAAAACAAACGAAGCTTTTGTGTTGTGCTGCTGATTTCTTGCTGATTTTACTAGCAGTATTTTTTGAATAAACGAGCAATTTCGGGGGTATCAGTGGCAGGAATTCCTTTGTTGTCATTGTTTTTGTTCGGGGGATTGTTTAATAATGAGCTGCTGATGGTGTGAATAAAAAAGCATTGGGTCGCTGAGGTAGAAAATGTTTGTGTAATTGTCTTAATTTGATTCAAAGTAAAAAGGTTGTCAATATGTGACGTAAGTGTTGTCAAAATTAAAAAAAAATATTTGGTGCTTTTTAGATTCAAATGAAAGTTTTTATTTTTGCATTATTGTTCAATTTCCCTACAAAATTGTTACTTGGCTTCTCCACTTGCATCTTTAAACTCACAAATTTATGAAACAAAGTACTGTAGTGCAGATGAAAGCAAAAGTTTTAAAATTGGACTCACATTGCAATCATTTTGTCGAAAGAGATTTTGCTGTACAGTACAACAAAACTTCAGGGGTTCTCTGCAATAAAATTATCTCTACAATGAAAGCATTCTTTAGTCCCTTGAGCCTGTTTTACTAATCAGAGTCTGCATGCTGTCCATATAATACCTTCAATGGCAATATGTTTTTTGTAGAAGACATTCCAGAATGCTCAAGATGCTGTCATTTAAAAGGGGTTCCCTGAAAACATTTACAAGGGCCTTACTCCTTACTCTTTACCCCCCTTAGCATTACTTTCTACACAATGAGTTAAATCAACAGCATAACACAAGAAAATATTGAAAATATAGACTTCAAATGTTCAGGATATTTGTAAGAGGAGGAGCTGACAGGTGGTGGGAATTGATAAGGTTGAGTAGGGAACACTTTTTTGGAGGAAGCAGAAGGCATTTGACTGCTATTGAAGGGTAATTAAGGATTAATTGAATAAATATATTGATTATAAAGAAGTTTCATAACATGATGGCTGGGGTTTTGTTTATGCTGTAGAGCAATGTCAACAAGACCCTCTGCATCATCATTGTTTGGAGCCAGAGGGACCAACATTTTGTCTGCATCACCCAAAACAAGACAGCAAAAATCTGCTAAAGAACAGTCTATGCCTCCTGACTTGGCAGATACATCTACACACTTTCATTGGCAATGTGACCAGGATTTAGATTTGGGGGCTTTGGAGGAAATTTTGCACAGGTTGGAGAAAATCTCTGAGGAACCAGGCCCATTTCTGAGACCCAGGCTTGAGGCCAAGTTGGCAAGGGGTTATTTTTTGTTTGCCCACAAGGGGGAGCTGCAGGAAAGTGTGGCACTCATTGGAGAAGTGAACCAATTTTGTAAACAGCAGGATTCCAAGGATGGGTCACCTGAGACCAAAGATATAACTTGGCCAGAGAGAAAAAAAGGTTTGTGTGACCTTTTTTGGAAATGATGCATCACATTATTCACATACAATTTTAAAGCANTGTACTCAATTCCCATTAATGACAAACTAATATTTTATTCACTGATTTGTAAGTTTTATGAGTCCAGTATACTCCAGTGTGACCCACTCTTTGATTATTATTTGAGAAGGTCCTCTTGGGAGGATGTTCAAGATATGGACATAATGCCAGCATATAATCTGTACTTAGTAAAATATTATTGAAAATATACCCTCATGCATCAATTATTAGTTGAATTATTGAGAGAATACAATGTTGAAAAGTGCATATAACAAAGTTCATATACTTACAGCTGAGTATATAAGTTATATACAGGACTGTAAATATGCATTTTCACATTCTCCAGAGAGATTATTATAGGTACCAGTATGAAAAATCACATTTCAAATACTGTAAAGGATGAATCTTTCAAAATGGTTTCACATCTGACCACACATCATAATTCAAACACCTGCCAAAATTTTTGAGGATAATCTTGTCTATATCCAAAAGATTTTATACTTATAACTAAATATTGAATCATCTCCCACTTCAACATGTAGGCATTCAACATGTAGCTGGTGCTGCCTTGGCCAATATCATTTGGAGAAGCAAGAAGTCTTTAGTTGAGTCACAACTCAAATTGATGAACTCTAGTGGAACTTATCCCAAGTTGGAAACACTGGGCCCTGAAGCAAAGGCAGCCATTTCTGGCTGCAAAGCCTTCACTTTGAGCATAATTGGAGCAGACAGAGCAGCAGAAGCCATTGCTGAGTATGAGAGAGCCATCAAACTCAATCCAGACCACAGTCTCTACCACATGAATCTTGGAATAGCTTTGTACAGATATGAGAAGCAAACACATGACCCCAACATGGTATTGCTCTTCATATATAACACCAAGTAATTTTTTTTATTGATAATTTATTCTCCCCACATTAGTTGCAAAGGCAATTGAGAGCTTTCCAGAAAGCTGCAGAAATATCAGACAGACAGCAATGGAAGGATCCCTTGCCACATGCCTTTCTAGGGGAAACTCTCAGAAGACAAGCAAGTTTCCATTATTTCAAAATGAGAAGCACTCTTGGCTATGATGACAAGTCCATAACAGACAAAGGCACCATCAGGGAACTGAATGACAGGGCTTCTGCTGAATTCCAAAGCAGCATGAAAACAATGACTCAAGGAGGGGAAATCTCAGAGTCTGTAAAAGTAAGTGGTTATTCCCTCATCCTGATGTTGAGAATTATTTGTAAATGACCCAATAATAAGAGGATGTGTCAACAATAAACAGGCCCTGGAACTTTGTGGTCATGCTTTGGGCGCAATGCCTGAACCTATGAGGGATGACAAGCAAGCTCTGGAGTGTCTAGAAAGAGCAATGACTCTGGATCCAGACAACCCTAATGTTTGCCACAGAATTGGTCTGTTACATGAGAGAACCAGAAGAGATTTGAAGACTGCCATAGACTTCTATAGAACTGCAAAAAAACTACAGAGGACCAATAATGCTGCCATCTTTTATGACTTCATCAGAGCCAAGAGCCTTTTGGACAAAGAATATGTCCCTTTGGATGACTTCTCTGCTCTCATCTGGAGAAACCGTGAAGAGACTTTAGTCAAGGCATTTTGCTGGAGGGGATTATATTTTTTGAAGGTGTGTTTGTTAAACCTGACTTTATATTCATTTCACTTATAAAGGTTGACATTTAAATATAGTACCATTGTCTATGCCTATATTCATGATTGGATCTCGAGGTAACTTTTATGTGTGTAACATTTATCCTCTTATAAAAGCCACCATTAAAATGTGCATAATTTTTGAAATAATTATTGTAAACAGGTGGCCAATGATCCCAAGAGTTGCTTGCATGACTGGCTTCATGCCTTGGAACTGGATCCAGCAGGAAAAGAAATGAAGTATATCCCCAATGGTCCATCTTGGTGCAATCCTGAACCAATTTCTGGTTCAAAATCATCAATGGCCTCCATCAGTCCAACATTCAGAGACTATGTGACTGAATTGCAAAACCTTGTGCATGATCTGAGTTCAAATTTGGGCAGGGATGAAGACTCTTCTTGGGCTGTTGAGTTGCTGGTCAGAAGAGCTTGGATGGAGTCATTGGTTGGCTCCAAAACTGTTGCTTCATCTCTGTACAACAGGGCTTATGAGGTGCTTTTGTCATATATTTGGGAGTAGCTAACTTGAAGGCTTTTCCTCTAACATTTCCATAAGTTGAATATTCTGAGGCCTTTTGGCTATTATTTTCTTGACTCAAGATTTTAAAAAGCAATAAAAATGGGATTTTATGTGTTTTGAAAGGATACGGATTGTGCCAATGAACCCGTGCCTCAAAGTTCAGCATATCCTTTCAACTCATTTTAGGAGCACTTTAAGGCCCAGAATATCACTATTTACAATTTAGTGAAATTCTGTGTTTCCCACAACAAAAATGCTTGGTTCCATAACTCAAGACATGTATAACTAAAAACCTCTCAAATTCAATTTTTTTTTGCTGGTGCCTTGAAATGTGACTTTGAGAGGTTCAACTGCAGATTATGGACTGAGAAACCTGTTTTTCTTTATAGGTTCTCACAAGACAAAAGGATGTCCTTGGACAGCAAGAGATTCTTTTCCAATGGATGTGGAATGAGCTTGACCAGAATAAAATCCCAGAGGCCCTGGAGAGACTGCATCTCATAAAATACCCAACCATGTTGTTGAAAATGGTTGATCCATGTTGCCCAGGGACAGTGACTTCTGTACCTGTCCAGAGATCTGCCAAACATACCTTTGGGGTGGACTCTTCCTCATCCAAAGACCATGTGCTGGTTCAGAGTCAACCCCCTGCAAGAAATGCAGCAACTTCTCTGTTGACCCTGGCTGACCATCTGTGCCCCAATTGTGACCCCATCAAGAAGACCATCAATGCCATTGCCTTGGTTGCTAGAGTGGACCATTGCAGGTATACCTATACCATAAATGTTTCATTTCCTCACCAGCACATATCACATATTTGCAAATTTTATGATCTTATTGCTTGCAAGACCTTGTATAGATGATGAACAAGAAACAAAGTGCAAAGAAGTCTTGGGACTGGTTCCCAGACACAAATGTACAGCAGAAAAGATGCTGAGGACATTGTGCAGAAGAAGGTTTGAGATGTGCAAGTCAGTGGCCACTGGACAACCATTGGAGGAGAAAATTTCAGCTGTGAAGGCTGTGCTTGAAGAGGCCAAGAAATGCAGGGACAGAGCTTACAACACATTCATTGATGAGTTCTATCCCTATGCCAAGGGTAGACACTATTATCCAATTGTGTTCAATAATTCGTGAGTTGACAATTGTTTGTAGATTTGAAATGAGAGCACTTTGTATAAGCTTCCCTTCATTGAGGGGCTTCTATAAGTTCTGCAATAGGTAAATTGTGTAGGATTATTTTTAAAATTGTTTTGTTGATGCTCAATCATTTGTGAGTTATGGAGAGTTTGTTGAATTGAAGTGAGAGCACTTTGTAAACCTCCCTTCTTGAGGGGCATCTCAAAAATTTTTTCCAATGATCTCACATAAAATATTCCTCTAGTATCAGCATGTAAATTTGAAACTCATGTATTGGTCTATTTTTAAAATTGTTTTGTTTAGTTCAATGATTTGTGAAATGCGAGTTTGTTGCTTTGAAGTGAGAGCACTTTGTAAGCTTCCCTTCATGAGGGTTTCCCAAAAGTTCTGTAATATTTTAGCTTAAAATATTCCTAGTGCAAGCATGCAAATTTGAAACTTCTATCAGTCTATTTTAAAATTTATGATTTTTAATATCTAAAAATACATATAAAATACATATAAATATAAATATAAAATACATATAAATATGCATATAAAACACATATAAATATACATATAAAATACATATAAATATACATATAAAATACATATAAATATACATATAAAATACATATAAATATACATATAAAATACATATAAATATACATATAAAAATACATTAAAGATTACATATACTGTACTGTAAAAGCAAAGTATTTTGCAGATAATCTCAATTACAGTTCACTTTCTATAGAAACAGCAGCAATAACTCAAATAAAAATTGTACTGAAATTTAATATTTTGGGAAGAACCTTACAAATATGCTGGAATTATTTAAAAAACTAGGCATTTAGTATGACTTTATCTAAACTTTTGAGAACCTCCCTGATTAACAGTTATTAATTACAGTATTTGAAAATGTTTTTTTTGTGTGTGTTGGTTGAGCCCTGTTGACAGACCAAAGCTGTATAACATGCCACGCTGTGATAACCAGTTTTGGGACCAGTCACTTGACCAGAACAAGAGCAGAGCAACTTCCATATTGCTGAGTTACAAGGTCAAGAGGCTGAACCACATTGAGCGGAAACATGAGCCAGTTGTGCAGTTTTTAGTTGACAACTGTCCCATGACTTCTGAAAAGCTCTGGTTCATGGACCACATTGAGAGGATGGTCAATGAGGACAAACACAGCAAAGAGGTCTTCATTTCACTTTTTTTTCATCTTAACGTTAAACACATGAACATCTGATAAATATAAGATTTATGTGCAGACTTGATGAATATTTGTTTCAACCTCAAATATTTGAGTCAAAAACCTCCCCAACTCAAATTTCCAGTGAATCCCTGGAAAATCTCATCAATACACTGCATTAATGCATTGAAAACTTCCTGCTGTAAGCAGAATACTAAGAAATAATATTCATTTCGATATTATGGTCAGAAAATTATATTCAGGAATTAAAATGCAATAACCCTGTCATATATTCTCTGAAAGCCCAAGTTAAAAAGCACTCAAGTTGCATTTTCCTTATCCCCCTTAAAATTTCAATAAATGGAACATTTTGCAGCATTTATTGTCACTACTTATATTGTCGGAAGTGCTCATGTCTTGTTGATCCAAATGTTTTGTTAATTGTTATTTTGTCTCTTGTATTGCATATATGAATACTGAATTATAAATTATTTCCTCTCAGATGATCCTGACAACAGAACAGCTGGATGAGTTATTCCCTATTGCCCACTTGTCAGCATCATTCTCTGAAAAGGTCATGGAGTTCTTTGTGCACTACACAGAGGACAATGGGTCTGGAAGAAATGACTTGAATGACCTCTTCCCTGTGGAAGACCTGAGCTCTTTGCTTTGAGAAATAAAGTGAAAAGAAGTTGTGCATCCTATTGTTCAAAATTATTTCCTTATCAAATCACAATGCTATTCTTGACTCATTTTTTAAAAAGAGTTCTATGTAGGGCAGTCATGAAATTCTTCAGCCTGTCCATATTTTCAATAGGTTGAAGAAAATTCAGAAAAATTCTTCCACATGGTTATTTTTGAATATATTTATGTAGTTTCATGTTAGCTTACTTCATAACGTTCACTTGCCCTTTCTTTATTCCTCATGTTTTTTTTTAATTTTAAAGTTGAGTAATAATTCACGCATACTGTATTTAATTTGCATTTGAGTATTCCAAGTTCTTCAAAAAGGGAGAAAACTGGATTAATCTTGTCAATGTATTGTATTTTCTGTTTATTTAGATCACATGAAAAGGTTTTTATGAAATATCTCAAGCTGGCCCAATTCAAAGCTGAAAATGAAAGGGTTCTGCATTGACAATATTTTGAAACCCAAATAAATCAGAGGTAAGGTCCTTCATAAATCGTACAAGCTTCTCACGCGTCATCTGCCGCCCGGGTTTTGTAACTTCCCCGCGACTCTCTCCACAGATGTCGCTCGTATCTGTCACAAATTTGCCACGGATAATCCCGACCAGGAAATTAAACGAACCGTTTCCGGAGCGACTTGGTTCCGGTTGCGTGACTTCACCGTGAAGAATCCCTCGGGAAAAACAAAATTGATCCGGATAAGAAAGAATAAAAGATACACCGGTTTCCCTCGACCTGAGTCCTGTTCGTTTTATTCTACAGAAGACACGCATTTTCGAAGGCGATTCATTTATTTCGGGTACAAGTCACTGAATATTTTAAATTAAATTCATATTAAAATTTTTAAAAACTGCGAGAGAGAAAATGTAGGAAGTTGACGTGGTGATAATGGACTGCCATGTCTTATCTTCCAATGAATCATTTCAAATAAGGAAACCAGAAAACATAATTTTAAAATATAATTTGTGCATATAATGGAGTTCCAGAATTATTTCCAACAATAATTTGATTTTGTAAGGACCTGCAGAGAGAGAATGTATTGAAATTTCTGTGGCTATTTCACAACATTTTGTCATCTGGGCCTCATGGAATGTGAAAAATAAACATTTCAGCAAATGAGTCCCCAAAAGTTGAGTATATAAATATAAAAGAACAATTATGAGAGCCAATGATGGCTTTCAATTGGTATGCTGTAATCTCATCTTTTAAATGAAGAATTACTTGTTCAAAAAGGTTCTTTTTCACATAAACACAGGAGATACATTATACTTAAATTTTAAAAAATTTCTGAACTTTTCAATCCCTCCCCAAAATTGTTTCTCTTAGAATAATTTTTCTGTACTGGAAATCTGGGGTGTAAAAAAATCAAGAGTTTTCAAATGAGTCCCAGAAACTTGAATATACAGTACATAAAAGACCAATTATACAAGAGCCATTGAATTTGGACTTGAATAACACTTTTTGCATGCAGAAATTACTTGACATTCAAAAAATGTTATTCTTCTCATAAACACAATGCGCATATAATACATTATAATTGAAAAACTTGGAAATCGCACCCCAAAATCAATTAAAATTTCGAGTATGAAAAGCAATCAATAGCTGAATGATAATCAGAAAGTCCTCAAAAGAAGTACTTGGGGAGTGTGGAATATAATTAGTGGCTACTCCTCATGAAAGAATCCGTTACAAGAGCAATTGACTTGCAAATAACCCACTCCTGTTCATCACAACTCATTATTATTCCCAGAAGGTCCTTATTATATACCACAACATAAACCATGCATGCAGGTACAGTACAGTATATAATTAGTGCTGAGGGTTCCTGTACTTGCACTTGAATCATGTAAAATACCTCATTATTGGCTGGTTATATATTCATTCAAAATATAGCTTATTGTAATATTATTTAGATGACCTGCAATATGGTGCTGATGGTGATACAGAAAGAGAAGGAGAGAGACAGACAAGACAGGCAT